CTTGGGCCGTCTTGGAGCGTCGGGATTTCCAAAAGTCGAGGCCTTCAAAAGCGTTAAACACCCAACGACAATCAGTGATTTGGGCGTCTCGAGGCCCTCGTTGGAAGGCTCTTCGGGCTCTCTTCGGGCGCCTCGAAGGCTTCTTGGGCCGCCTTGGAGCCAACTTGGGCATCTTGGACAGATCGTGCAGCTGCGATTCGGTGTTTTTTGTTGGACCGCCCTGGCGGCCTCTTGGGGCCCTCTCGAACCGTCTTGGGGCACTCACCAGATTTGGCAAGTTAAGGTCCGGGCCCCAAAACAAATTCTCAGGTATGAAGGTTGAGGCTCCAGGGGATCGAACAGGGGACCTGAGAACACTCCGACTCGTGCCTCTGGGAAACTCTGGAGGATACGCGGTGCAATGTTATGCTCTGAGAGCTATGTGGCGCTATGTATGTTAGACAACATAGACTTTGCAAGACATTGTCAATGTTGTACAATAGTTGCAGTGTAATGCCTGTATCGGGAACCATACACCTACATTCAAATACTTATACATACATACAAATATAGTTGTGTCTACATGGTGTAGTCTACGTGGCGCAATCAATGTGGCCATGCATACATATATATACATGTATATTCATATATATATATAGGTGTTTCAGTCGATGCGGAGCCATCTTTGATGTGCTAGATGTACAGGAAGCCATATATACACATGTTTATAGACGTATACAACTCAAGGTGTATATGTATATGGATGTATACACGTGTACGAGTTCAACACTGATATGTATACATCTGCATGGTGTAAGCTACGGGGCGCTGTCTGTGTGGCGCAGTCTACGCGATGCGAACTATATTGTGAAATCTACGCGGCCCTCTCTGAGCGGTGGACTCCATGTGATATTTGCTACGAGGCTCGCGCAGTCAAACCTGCAGCCACATGCTGCGGCAACGGGCGGCGGCCACGGGCGGCGACGAGCCCGCTGGACCGCCACCCAGGCCAAGGGCGGGCTGCGGGCACGGCCGACGGCGAGCCGGCCCGACCGCCAGCCGGGCCCAGTTCCTTAGACTTGGCATCGCTCGGACGTGTGCAGTTTTCCTTCGGCGAGGACCATCGAGGAGTAACCTCGATCATTTGGCGAAAAAGCCACACACGAAACCGACAAAAACAGAAGGAATGGACGTCCGAGCGATGGCGAGCAGAAGACAAAGCAAAACACCCGAAGTGCAAGAAAAGCACTGCTCGGGAAGCGCGGCAGAAGCATGTGATTTCGGAGCTCCGCGCTGATTCTGTGGATTTGCGCTTGGCCCCCGGACGGCGCCTCCGGCGCCGCCCCTGGCGCGCTCCGCTCGCCAGGGAGGGTTTTTTCCAGCGCCGCTGCGGCAAGCCTTCAGCTGCGGACCCGGCGCTCTCACAGAGCGAGTCAGCAGAAAGGCGAGGGCGGAAAAGAGTCAGGAGGGAAATAAACACACAGACACAATTAATCGTCGATTCCCCAGAAAATATAGGAAAATATGGGAAGTGGGGGGAAGACAAAAACCCAAAACATATGGGAAAATATGGGGGATATCTTTATTTGTGTGTATCTATTTGTTTGTGTCCCAGTTCCCCTTCAGAGAGGCGGCCGCGGAGGGAGGAGAGTGCGGAGTCGCGCTGAGGGCAGGATGAGCTTGTCCGTGTGACTCGTGCTGGAGGGGCCCACGACGCACCAGCCGCCAGAGGGTGCGGTGGCGGACATCAGCGACGGCAGCGAGCACCTCCTCCTGGTCCCCGAGATCGCCCCCCTCATTTCGGAGGGGGGGATTAGGTCCCTCGTCTCGGCTCGGAGGTGTCGAGGAGGGGGGAAGACCAGGGCGCATGGCCAGTCCCATGAAAGCTCCCGTATCTTCTCATGGCTCCTCCTCCTCCTCCTCCTTCTCCTCCTCTCCTGCTGCTCCTCCTCGTCTTCCTCCTCCTTCTCCGCCTCCTCCTCCCCTCCTCCGCCTCCGCCTCTGCCTCCTCCTCGTCCTCCTCCTCCTCCTCCTCCTAATGTCATGGCACGGTCGCCCAGGTCGTCTCATGGCCGGGCCCATGACATCTCTCTGATGACGGAAAGAGCGAGGTACGAGCGAGTGACGTTGAGCAGGGGCGAAGCCCTCCTTAGGGGGGGTGCAGGGGAGGGTGGAGGCGCGAGAGTTGTGGTGGTAATGGCCCGTTTCAATTTTCTCTCGAGTGAAGCGGCTCCCATGGCCAAGAGTGCCCCACGACGGCCCCAAGAGATCTTCAGATGGCCGCTAGACGGTCCAAGAGAGTCTCGAGACGGCCCCAGAGGCCCTCAAGAGGGTTCCCTGAGAGGGCCTCCAGAGGCCAAACACCTTGATTTCCCAGTGGTTTGTTTGCATGTTGGTTCTCCCGTTTTCCGTCCCAGAAGGGCCCCAGACGGCCCAAGAGGCCCCGAAGATCGTCCCAAGACGGCCCCAGAGGCAGCCAAAAGGAGCCCAAAACGGTCCAAGAGGGCCCCCCAGGCGGGCACACGGCCCAAGAGGTTTCAAATATCGACCCAAGACGGCCTCCAAAGGCGCCCCAAACGGGCCCCAATAACGGTCCGAGAGGGCACCCAGACGGGCCCAAGACGGCCCAAGAGGCCCCAAAGATCGTCCCAAGATCACCCGAGAGGCGCCCACAGGGGCCCCAAACGGCCCAAGAGGGCCCCAATACGGCCAAAGAGGGCCCCAATCCGGCCAAGAGGGCCCCCAGGGCCCTAAGAGAGCTCAAGAGGGCTTCAATAGGCTCCCAAGCGGGCCCGAAGAGGAGGAGGAGGAGGAGGAGGAGGAGGAGGAGGAGGAGGAGGAGGAGGAGGAGGAGGAAGGATGAGGAGGAGGAGGAGGAGAGGAGGAGGAGGAGGAGGAGGCGGAGGGAGGAGGAGGAGGGAGGAGGGAGGAGGAGGAAGGAGGAGGGAGGGAGGGAGAGAGGAGGAGGAGAGAGGAGGAGGAGGCGGAGGAGGAGGAGGAGGACGAGGAGGAGGAGGAGGGAGGAGGAGGAGGAGGAGGAGGAGGAGGAGGAGGGAGGAGGAGGAGTCGGAGGCGGAGCCCAGGCGGAGCCGCAGGCGGAGTCGCAGGCGGAGCCGGAGGCGGATGCGGAGGCGGAGGCGGAAGAGAGGAGGAGGGGCGGAGGAGGAGGAGGAAGGAAGAGGAGGCGGAGGAGGAGGAGGAGGAGGGAGGAGGAGGAGGAGGAGGGAGGAGGAGGCGGAGGAGGAGGAGGGAGGACGAGGAGGATAAGGACGAGGAGGAGGAGGAGGAGGAGGAGGAGGAGGAGAGGAGGAGAGGAGGAGGAGGAGGAGGAGAGGAGGAGGAGGAGGAGGAGGAGGGAGGAGGAGGAGGAGGAGGAGGAGGAGGAGGAGGAGGAGGAGGAGGAGGAGGAGGAGGAGGGAGGGAGGAGGAGGAGGAGGAGGAGGAGGAGGAGGAGGAGGAGAGGCGGAGGCGGAGGAGGAGGAGGAGGGAGGGAGGCGGAGGAGGAGGAGGAGCAGGAAGAGGAAGAGGAGGCAGAGGAGAAGGAGGAGGAGGAGGCGGAGGAGGAGGAGGAGGAGGAGGCGGAGGAGGAGGCGGAGGCGGAGGCGGAGGAGATGGCGGAGGAGGAGGAGGAGGAGGCGGAGGCGGAGGCAGAGGCGGAGGCGGAGGCGGAGGCGGAGGCGGAGGGGGCTTAAGAAGCTCTTCACACCCAGGCTCCCAAGCGCGAAGGTGACGTAAGAAGCTCTTCACACCCAGGCTCCCAAGAGCGAGCGGCACCGTAAACATCTCTGAACACCAGGGCTCCCAACAGAGAGTTTTGACGTAACAAGCTCTTCCCACCAAGGCTCCCAAGAACGAACGGTGACGTGGCAAACTCGTGCACACCAAGGCTCCCAAGAGCGAACGGTGACGTACACAACTCTCAAAACCAAGGTTTCCCAGAGCGATCGGCAACCTAAAAGTCTCGGAACACCTAGGCTCCCAAGAACGAGCGGTGACGCAACCAGCTCTTACCACCAAGGCTCCCAAGAGCGAAGGGTGCCATGAGGCATCTCGGGCAGGTTGCTGCAGCGCTCTTTCCGTTTCCGTGCCGGTCTCTGATCTAATGGCTTTTTGTCTTCCTCTTTGAGCACGTCCCCCACCCCCCGCCCCCCACTTGTCCGCGCGCATGCCCCCGAGCCATGATGTCGGAGAGTCAGGAGGAGAGAAGGTGTTCAGTTCGGACCCTGCTTAGCGACTATCTCGGGGCCTCTCAGATGAGGTCAGAGTAGGGGTCGGAGGATCGCGCCCTACCGCCGATGCATCGTCGATTCGGCTCGATGTGGAACCGGACTTTCTCCACGCCGGCGTCGCCGATGCATCGCCGACGTCGCCGATGCATCGCCAATGCGTCGGCGATGTATCGAGGAGTCGGCGCGAGCCTGCGACGCCAACTGCTCGCACCCCACCTGGGAGTACTCTACTACCTATTGGTAGGGCCGCGCAGCGCAGAGCGTTTGTTGTCTCACCCTTGGGTTCGGTGGCCCATCTGTTTTGCTGCTGCCATCCGGTGTTCCACATTCTGTTGCTCTCGTACATCAGGGGGGGAAACAAACACACAGACACAATTCATCGTCGACTCCCTGGAAAATATTGGAAAATATGGGAAGTGGGTGGGAAGACAAAAACCAAGAGAATATGGGACAATATGGGGATTCCTGCTATTTGTGTGTATTTATGTGTGTGTTTGTGGGCCCCTTCAGTACAGTCGGCCCAGATTGGCAGGTCGGCCCTGCCAGATCAAGGGTACTTTGGTGTCCTGTGTATCGCGACCCATGCCTCCTGCATTCCTGCGGCAGCGCGCCCCCCTCGGAGAGGGTCTTTGGTCCTCTCGCGTGTCCTCTCCAAGCAAGTCCGACTCTACTCCTTCCCTGCAGTCTGTTGTGGCTGCTGCTCCTCCTCCTCCCTTGGGCGAGGGGACCGATGCCCGCCCTCCGGCTGTCGGGAGCGTCGTCCTCCCCGTGCTGGGCGCGGTGCCCGACGGCATGATGGTGCTGTTCTCCGGCCTCGGGGAGAACGCGCAGGAGGAGGTGCGCGCGACAGAGTCGGGGGTCCCCAAGCGAGGATCTGGAGGGGGGAGGGGGGAGGATCTGGAGGATCTGGGGGGAGGGGGGAGGGCGATGAGCGAGGGGGAGGATCTGGAGGATCTGGAGTGAGGGGGGATGATCTGGAGGATCTGGAGGATCTGGAGGATCTGGAGGGGAGGAGGAGGTGCTCGGCGGAGTCGGGGGGTCCGGGTCCCCAAGCGGGGTGGTGGCCACACCGTGTGGTTGAAGGGGCCCAAGGGCACACAAATGAATACACGCAAATAAAAGGATTCCTTATATTTTTCCATATTTTTTGCGTTTCCGTCTTCCCCCCACCTCCCATATTATCCCATATGTTTTAGGGAATCGACGATTACTTGTGTCTGTGTATTTTTTCCCCTCCTGAGTGGCGAGTCTCGGAGGTGGACAGACCTCCTACCATGGCACGTCGATGAAGGAATTGGCCGTTTTCGGTTCGCGAGAGGGCGTCGCGGCCGTCATGTTTGCGGCTCCAGGTCCGTCGGTTTCGGTCCCAGGCCGTTTTCACTTAGGGGAGGTTTCTTAAAGGGAGGTTTTCCACCGCCGAGAGTCGGTGGGGATTCGGGGTCACCGCACGGTTTTGGGACTCGGGTCGTTCTCCGAGGACGTCTCGGGCGACAGCTGCCTCCAGGGTCCCCAGACCGTGCGGTGGCGGACCGTTCGGTGAGGTCTTGGGGGATGTCGAGGGCACCGCACGGTGTGTCACCGTACCGCTTCGGGACTCCAAATAGAGACCATATCCATGATGCCCACACCAATTTCGTTACGGCAGGTCGGCGTCGTGTCGATTGGCGGCGACCCCGCCGCTGGCGTTCAATGTTGAACGCCTCGGGCGACCCAGAATTGGTCGATGTTGAAATTGATGCTCCCCGCGGTGTCAGAAACCAACGCCGAGGTCGGCACGACACGAACCTGCCGTATCTCACCCCTCCTCCGCGCCCTGGCAGACGAGGGTGCCGGGAGGGGGCTAGCGGCTGGGCAGAACTTTCGAGGAGGGAACGGTAACCTTTCCCCATGTGAGAAAACGTGAGAGGAGGAAGCGTGAGAGAGACCAGAAATATTCACCCACCAATTCAATTATGTATCTTACTCCTCTGCGACCTGGCAGAAATCGAAGGAGAAAGACATTGCATAAACATCAATTTTCGGAGGTCCACGTGGATTTCTTGGGTCGGTGCTGATTTCTTGGATCAGCGCTACTCGGCGAGCCAGGGAGGGGGGTCCAGCATCGATCCAAGAAATTTGTGCGGACCTTCAAAAGTTCATGCTGTTCAGTTTCTCTTCTTCAAGAGGTGCGGAGGGTGGATGGGGGGAGGCAGCCTGTTAGAGGGAAGAACGGCAGCGCTACTGCTGCTCATCCTTGGGAAACCTCGTCGCCGCGGCTCGATTCGCCTCGAAGTTCGAGTCATAACGTTTCCGGGGAGAGGTCCGAGCAGCAGCGGCATGGATACTCCTTTGTCCCCCGGGGCGCGCAGGGGACAGGTAAGAGACAGACCGTCGCTATACGCCCACATGGGTCAAGGGGGCGTTGATTAGCGACGGGGGTCCCGTTTCCATGGGACACTGCGGATTTCCGTCGCCGAGCGAGGCGGCACCGGCCGCATTGTGGGGAGGGCATTTCCCCCGATCCACGGACTTGGCGACCGCGCGCCAAATCAATGGATCGCTGATCCATGTTTGCGCGACCCCGAACTTAGTCTGAAGTCGGGCCTGTCCCTCTATAGGAAGAAAAATCCAATATAGTGGCACGTAGCTCTGGGGACGATGTTTGTAAAGTATGTTTGGAATTATTTGGTGTATCTTCAGTATTTGAAAGCGTTCGCCTAAAATCCGCCTGTAGGGGGACATGGCCCGACCTAAGTATACCATGTAGGGGATCATACAGTCAACCATGATAGTAAAGATGGGGCACCTTTCCAAGGCCACGCTTGCATCCTTGCCCCTTCGGTATTCGGCATTCTTCGGCATTCTGCTGCGCTCCGCACGGAAAACGTTAACATGGCGTTCCAAGGCCCTTGCATCCTTACCGCGCATCCTTACTATCCTGGTCGAGGGTACCCCAGCCAGGGCTTGGCCACGAGGGTTGGCCAGGTTGAGGGGGGCGGCCTCGCGAGAGGGCGCGAGGGGGCATCTCGCACCGGATCTTGGGCCTCCCGGGGAGGCCTCCTCCTCCTCCTCCTCCTCCTCCTCCTCCTCCTCCTCCTCCATCAGGGTTGGCCAGGCTCCCCTGGGGTCGGCGGGAGGGCTGGCCAGGGCGGGCCGCGTGCGGCTCTGCGACGGCGCGCGTGCTCCCTCCTCGAGGCGGGCGGCCGCCGCCCCCACCCTCCGCCTCGCGCCCCTCGCCGCCGAGGCCTGGCGGCTCTCGCGACGGCCCCCGAAAGGTGTCCGTGGGCGTCGGCGCGCTGGCGGGCAGCACCATCATGCTGCTCACGCTGCCCTGGGCCGTCTCGGTGCTGGCGGGCCGGGTCAACCTGGACGACCAGGGCGCGCCGAGGTACAAGCGGCCCGCGGACGCGGGCGAGGACTGGGAGAAGCTGTCCCCGCCCGGCAACCTGAGCCTGCTGCGCACCGGCGTCGGCTTCGGCAGCGAGATCCAGGACCGGCGAGGCTCCCGCTGGGGCTGGACCCAAGCAGTGTTTTTCGGCGATTCCGTGGGCCGTTTTCGTTTCGACTTCGTTTTGCGGCAAAGGCTGACTGAAGACGAAACGAGGGAAAACGAAAACAACACGAAAACGAAAAACACCGTTTAGTTTCAGCCCTGGGCTCCGAGTTGCGCACAGGCAGGCCCCCCACGTAGCCCCGGCTAGCTTTAACAGGCCCCCGAGCAATCCCAGCTGGGGCTGCCTGGAGGGGCTGTCTGTACGCAGCCCGAAGCTTTTTCATCCAGGACGCGGCGCGGTACATGGTCTTCACGATGCTGGGGTATTTCGTCATTCAGGGTCCAGCGTTCTTCGTGGACGGCCGCAAGGCGGGCGACTCGGCCTCCCAGCTGCGGAGGGCGCAGGCCCACGAGTCCAGCACGGAGAGCCTGTGGGCGTTGGCCGGGCTGGTTATCTGCATCGTTGGGTTCTTGGCGTATTTGCACAGGATGTGGCGGGAGTCGAAGAGTCAGAGCAGCGCAGTGTCGGACAAGATCGCCGAGGTGCAGGTGGACGCCATGCATAGAGGCAAGGTTTCTCTGCGAGGCGCCCTGGCCAAGTATAAGGACAGCCACTGGCTGGAGCTGAACGACGAGGAGGATCTGAAGCGTGCGCTCCTCGATAAGGAGACGATGGAGGAAGTGCGGGGGATGTGCAAGGTGCTGGCTCCGTTCTACACGGACTACGACACGAACGGCGACAACTTGATTGATTTCGAGGAGTTCCGGATGATCCTGAACGACGTTCACGAGAACGTCCCGAAGGAGACGCAGAGGGTCATATTCGACAACGCAGACACGGACGGCAGTGGCACGATATCTTTCGAGGATTCGAAGAGCAATCCGAAATCTGACATTTTCGGTGGGCCGCTCGGATTTCTCTTGTCTAGGCGCGGGACGCCCCTCCCAGGCGCGCGAAGCGCGCCAGGCGCCAGGGACGGCGCCAGAGGCGCCGCCAGGGGGGCCCGGCGCCGACCCAAGAATCCCGCGCGGAGCTAAAAAAACACCTCTATGCCGGTCGTTCTCCCCCTGAGGAGTTCGTCGCCTGCCTCATGTCCTTCGTGAGCGAGGGCAGCACCGAGCGGCCCGAGCTGGAGGAGAGGCGGAGGCGGCGGGTGTCCGTCGCGGACCCGCTGCGGCTGTACGCGTCCAGCTCTCTCTCCGACAAGGACGCCCGAGGCCGAGGAAAACGGGCACCGGCTCCGGGGTGCATCGGCGGCGCGCCCGGGGGGACGGCGGAGGGCGGGGCCTGCGCAGAAGGCCCAGCACTTGGCATCGCTCGGACGTGTGCATTTTTCTTTCGACGAAGAAACCACGCACGAAACCGACAAAAACACAGGGAATGGACATCCAAGCGATGGCGAGAGCAGGTCTCCGGCCTTCTGAGCAGCTTTTTGGATCGGGGCTCGAGAGCACCGGGTCTGGCAGGATCCTGCAGGGCCAGGGGTACCCTGTGATCCGGGCCGGGGTGCGGGATCCCCTGCAGGGTGGTGCGTGAGCCTCCTGCAGGATCCCGCAGGGCCTGGCCGACCCAGGTCTGCACGAACCTGGCTGACCCAGAGTAGATCCTGGCTGACCCAGGTCCCGCAGACCCTGGCTGACCCAGAGTAGATCTCCGATCGAAGCCTTCTCCGGAGCTCTGCCATTTTATGAGGAGGCCCGCTCCTCTCTCGCTCTCCCCTCGGCACGTCACCAGAGCCAGGGCACCCGCGGGTTGGCTGGGGCCGCCGCGGTCTTCCCGGAGGCAGCCCACGGGGGTGACCCGAGGGGTAGTATAAGGGCCAGGGCCATGATACCTCCACGGACTGCATTGCCCCGTCTTCTGCTTCTGCTTCTTAGAATCTCATACTGTGTTACCAATTTCTTCTTATCATTATCCTTCTTCTTCTGCTTCTTTCAGTGCGTCCCGTGCCCCCCCCCCCCTTCGGCCGCACACATGCCACGGGCCATGATTTGCTAACCCTCCTCTTGGACGCCCCCCTCTTGGACGCCCCCGAGGTTGCGAACATAAGCCCTGTCGAAATGAGAACATTGAGAATGAACATGCACCTTTGGGAGCGCCGCACGGGCTTCATGGATCGGCGCTGGGTCCAGAGCGCCCACGCGGAGCTCCAAGAGTCAATGCTTATGCAAGCGCTTTTCTTCGGCGTCCCCCCCAACTTGCTTATACTGTATGTGCGTCGCCCCCCCCCCCAGGGGCGACGCGCGCACCGAGAAATCTTATAGTATATGCTTCGTGGCGGGCGCTTTCTGGCCACACCGCTGGGGAGACGATATACTACACGATGGGTACTTTGTATGCTCGGGTCGGACGCGCGCCTCCAATGTGGACACATCGTATTAGTATGTCTCTGTGCGACCCGTTTCTTGCTCGAGCATTCGTGTCTAATTCAAAGTCGTGCCTGTCCTTCTACAGGAGGAATATCCAAAAATAGTCCAGAATAGTCTGGGGACTTTTTTTTAGGTATGGTTTGAACATGTGGGGGTATCTTTGGAGTATGTTGTTTCACTCTTCGCCCAAAATCCCCCTGTCGGGGGACACGCCCGACCTGATATTAGGATGCCTCTGTGCGTCCCATTTCTTGCTCGAGCACTCTGTGTTTATCGTGGTTGGACAGACCTCCTACGCTGACACGTCGATTGAGGAATTGGCCGTTTTCGGTTCGCGAGAGGGCGGCGCGGCCGTCATTTTTGCGGGTCCAGGTCCGTCGGTTTCGATCCCAGGCCGTTTTCATTCAGGGGGGGTTTACGAAAGGGAGGCTTGTCCACCGCCGAGAGTCGGTGGGGATTCGGGGTCACCGCACGGTTTTGGGACTCGGGTCGTTCTCCGAGGACGTCTCGGGCGACAGCTGCCTCCAGGGTCCCCAGACCGTGCGGTGGCGGACCGTTCGGTGAGGTCTTGGGGGATGTCGAGGGCACCCGCGGGCCTGCGCAGCAGGAAGGCTCTCCCCGCGCCGCGCTCTGGGGGCGGAGCGCCCGCCCCCGTCCGCGCGGCGGGGGCCGCGCAGGCGCGCGGAGGCCCTCGCGCGCCTTCCGCGGGCGCGAGGATCCTTCACCTTCTGCTCCTGCTCCTCCCTCCCTCCTCCCTCCTCCTCCTTCTCCCTCTCCCTCCCCCCTCCCTCCCTCCCTCCCTCCCTCCCTCCCTCCCTCCCTCCTCCTCTTCTCGTGCCGACGCCGCCTCCATCGCAGGGAATCAGGTCGACCCAGTAGGGGCTCCAGCGACAGGGGGGTGGTGCAATAGTAGGGGGCGGCAAAGAAGGGGCTGATGATTAGGGGGAGGGATATCATGGCGGGGGCCATGATATTCCCCCAGATTTCATGGCGCCTCGTCTTATTTCATCACGTCCCTGGCCCCCCCCGCTGGGCCGCTCACATGCCGCCGGTCATGATTTGCATCCCCCCCTCTTGGACACCCCCATCTTGGCCGCCCCCGAAATAGATTTGGTGGAGTAGATGTGTGGGGCTGCAATACACTTGGGGCGTGCAATGCATCCCGGGGCGCAGATTTATTGCTGCACGTTCGCGTGCAATACATTACTTGCAAGGCAATGCAATGGTCATTGCAGCAACGGGGGTCAGTCAGAGCGCCAAATCTTGCAGGAGCCTGCAGATGCCAGGGGTCGCACCGACCCGGGCTTGAGCGCAGGATCCTTGCAGGATCCTGCAAGGCGTGGCTGACTCGGGCTTGCACTGGCCAGGGGTGGACCTAAGCACGGTGCGTGGGCCGTTTTTTCCGGTTCAGCTTCGCTCTGCGGCGAGAGGCGGACTGAAGACGCAGCGAGGGAGAGAGCGAAGACGGAACGAACACGAAGCACGAACACGAAGCAGACGGGGCCTCCGGGGGGGGCCTTCAGCGAAGCGGCTCTGGAGGAGCCGCCGTGCTGGCATCGCCGATCGGGGGCCCCCAAACGGGTTGGTGACCACACCGTGCGGCGAGTCGATGGGGATTCGGGGTCACCGCACGGTTTTTGGACTCGAGTCCCTCTCCGAGGATGTCTCGGGCGACAGGGGTCTCCGAGGTCCCAAAGCCGTGCGGTGACGGACCGTGCGGCGATGTATCTTGGGGTTCCGAGGTCACCGTACGGTCTGTCACCGCACCGTTTCGGGACTCAAAAACCGAGCGCGTTCCACTACTGGCACGGTGCCTACTTGCAAACGTCCGAAGAAACACATGTCTGCTTCGATTTGATGTATCGTAGATCCCCCGCGGCGGATCCGGGCCAGTTGCGAGTAGTGACTTGTCCATGGCAGAAGGAATCGAGATGCCCACGTGGCCATGTATGGAACAGCACACGACTTCGGCGGTCTGGATGCCATCGTGCCTCTGTCTCCGAGAGGGGGGGGTTCTTTCCCCGGTCGAGACGTTCTGAGGCGATCAGACGTCGGGACCAGGACCACATTTTGATTCCCGACGGCGCTCCAGGTCCACAAAGCCATCGTGGCCTGATTGCACTAGGGGGAGGGTGTTTGCACAGGTTCTTTCAAGAGGAGATTGTGCAAGGAGTTGTGCAGGGTTGCTAAACGGTGGTGTGCAAGCCTCTGTCCGAGAGCAGTTTTGTGAGGCTCATGACAACGCTGTGGCTCTCTTGGTGTCGGTGCCAGTTCCTGGGCCTCCCAGGACGAATCGAGCCCGCCGGGCGACGGCGAGGACGACGAGCCCGAGGAGGAGGAGATGCCCGAGGACTTGGCCGACCTCGAGCCGCGCGAGCAGCAGAGGAGGATCAAACTCCGCGCCGCGTGGAAGATGGCCCTCGGCAGCGCCATCGTGCTGATTTTCTCCGACCCAGCGGTGGACCATCATTGATCCCAGAGGAGGAAAAACGGGTACCGATATCGCTGCCGTTGCCTCGGTTCCGCCCTCGTCGCCAGAGCCATCGGGGCCGCTGCGGCTGGGTCGGATTATGGCGCTACTTCTTTGCATGAAAACAGGCGGCTTAACATAATTAGGTTGTTCTCCAAGCTGTTGCACGCCATCTGTAGGTACAGCCATGCTAGAATGTGACGTACACGGTTATTTGCCAATTGTAAGACATCAGTCAGGTTGGCTTTCTGCATAGCGCAAGCTATTGCGAGCTAGCAATGTGAGTTACACCCGCGTGAATCAGTTCGACCTTGTAACTCGCATGGAACTGGCATGTTCCGACATCCACGTGTTGCCACGATGCAATGTAGTTAGCCATGCACTCTTGTAGCCATGTGTATATAGTCACCAAGCTACAGCATACATTACATACATGTTAAGGTGTTTTCGAGTATGGCTCGAGATCGGTAACGTGTTTTTCAGTTCAGCTATCCAAACCTATGATCCAGTATGCACATGTGCTACGATGCTTGTTTTTTTGCTGGGGTTGCAAACGTCGTGGTGCACTTTTCCGAATTCACTTCCGCGGCGTTCGCTTATTCCGCAGAAGTTTGGAGTGAGTTGTGCTCACATGCCCACATTTGCAGCGTGGCATGTAGGCCATGTTGTTGCATGTGCGGCCACATTTGCATCTCCACAATTATCTTGGTTTGTTTTAGCCATCGTGTGATGTTGGGTCTTCGTTTTGATGAGACACTCCCCGCGCCCTTCTCTTCTCCCCCTCCTCATCCCCCTCCTCCCTCCTTCCCCTCCTTGTTTCTGCCCTCCTCGTCGCCATCGCCATCATCACATCACCACCGCCACCGTCATCATCAACATCATCATCACCGTCATCATCATTATCATCCTCATCATCGTCATCAGCAGCAAATGGATAGGGCTCCAGCGGGGGCTGGGGCGCTGTTTACGGACGGCTTCGCTTGGTCAGGTTGCGCGCCACCGCCAGGCAATGGGGCGAAGTTCTGAAAATGGCGCGGAAGCAGTACCCCGGTGGCTCGCGGGGCGAGTTTAGCATCACGTACGACAACGACGAGAACGACGTGAACCTGGTCGGAGCTCGAGAGCGTGCCACGAAGGATAGGCAAGAAACAGACAACAAGCAATTCCCGTTCAACGCCGACGCCGAGGAGTTCTGCCCAGGTCCTCCGGGCTAGGCTGTTGGGCTCCAGGCTGCCGGGCCAGCGAGTACGTCGAGCAGGTGATGAGCGAGAGAGTCGTCGAGACCAGGAAGGATGAACGCACGGCGAGTACGACGAGTACGACGAGAACGACGCAGAGTCTGTCGAAGTTCGGGAGTGCGCCGAGAAGGATGTGAAAGAGAAGGAAACCACGAAAAACAATACCTTTATCAAGGACAAGAAGGTTGGGTTCGACGAGCACGACCACGATAAGTACAACGTGGAGCTGGCGAAGGTGGTCGAAGTTCGAGAGAGCGTCAAGAAGGATAAGAAAGAGACAAATACTTCAGGAAGGCTAACTACGACGAGTACGACGATAACGACGAGTACGACGAGCACGGCGTAAAGCTGGTCGATGTTCGAGAGTGTGCCAAGAAGGGACAGACAGAGGACGGCACCGGGCACGGCGAGTGCGACTACGACGGGCGCGACGCGGCGTTGGCGAAGTCGGTCGAAGTTCGAGAGTGCGACGAGAATGAGAATAAAGAGGCTCAGGCTACGAAGACGAAGTACGGTGAGTGCGACGAGTTCGACGAGCACGACAAGCGCGGCGTAAAGCTGGTCGATATACGGGAGCGTGCCAAGAGGGAACGGGAGGAGGACGGCAGCGAGCACGGCAAGAACGACTACGATGAGTGCGTCGTGGATTCGGCGAAGTCGGTCAAAGTTCGAGAGTGTGAGGAGGAAGATAATGATGAGACAAAGACCGCAAAGGCTAAGTATGGCGAGCTCAACGAGCACGACAAGCACGATGCAAAGTCGGTCGCTCTTCGAGAGCGCGCCAGGACATAGCAGAAAGAGGACGACTGCAAGTACGGCGAGATCAGCTACGATAGGAGCGACGTGGAGAGTTCGAAGCCGGTCGAAGTTCGAGACCGTGACAAGAAAGACAAGACATATACACAGACTAAGAAAGCCAAGCACGGCGACTACCGCCAGTTAGACGAGCATGGCGAACACCACGCAAAGCTGATCGACGTTCGAGAGCGCGCCAAGAAGGATAAGAACGAGTACGACGAGTCGGACGCACAGATCGCGAATATCGAGTCCCGTTTGGATGCAGTGGACAGCACTCTATCCAGCCTTCTCCCGCGGTTCAAGCGGGAGGTGGCCGCGCCCCTGGTCGCCGGAGCCGAGGCCTGCAGCGAGGGGGCCGCGGATTTCGGGGGGCGCGTCAACAGCCCGGCGCGCAATCTGGAGCGCGAGGTGCACGGGGTCAGCGAGAAGTTCTGTAGGAAGTTCTACGACGCCGACTTCGAACCGGACTGAGCAGACCTGGTCCCGCTGGAGAACTTCTTCACCACCTGGCTGTGAGCCGCTCGGACGCGGGGCCGCTGGCGCTTGGGGGAATGGGGGGGGGGGGCCTGGAAGCCCACGTCGCAACAGGGGAGAAGCAAACACAGCATCATCACCATCGCCCCGATCGTCACACCCCTTACACACGCACGCGCACGCACGCACGCGCACACGCGCACACACACACGCACACACACACACACACACACACACACGCACGCACGCACCCTTCACACGTTCTGGGCCCCAAAAGGGAACAACTCACCGACGGCCCCAGCGAGAGGGCCCGCATGTCGGATTGGACGCACCCCTCACTCGCGTCGTGGCCCACATTGGGGCCTCACCAACTGCCCAAAAGGCGCCGCTCCTATGCGCCCGCCGCGCCCATTTCGTCACACGCTTCGTGGCCCCTTAGGGAGCTTAACCGATGGCCCGAAAAGCAGCGCCCTCACACGCTTCGTGGCCCCTTAGGGAGATTTACCGCTGGCCCGATGCCCCCCGCGCGTTTCGTGGCCCTACAGGGGGCCCCACCGAAGGCCCAACATGTAGTGCCTGCGTGCGCCCGCCGCGCCCATGTCGGCGCACCCGTCAAACGCTTCGTGGCATGGGGAGCTCCACTGGAGGCCCTAGTGGCGACGCCCGCATGTGTCCGCCGCACCCCTTTCCGGCGCAACTCTCACGCGCTTCGCGCCCACCATAGGGAGTCCCGCCGAAAACCCCAGAGGCAGAGCCCCCATGTGCCCGCCGCGCCCATGTCGGCACACCCCGCGCACGATTCACGGCCCCATAGGGAGCTCCACCGAAGGCTTAAAACACAGTGCCCGCAGGCGTTCCGCCGCGCGCATTTCGGCACACCCCTCGCACGCTTCGCGGAGGCCCCCTGGGGGGCTCCACCGAAGGCCCGAATGGCAACGCCCGCGTGTGCCCGCCGCGTTCATATTGGCACGACCCCCACGCGCTTCGTAGCCCCCGTAGGGGTCTCCACCGGAGGCCGAAGATGGAGCGCCCGCATGTGCCCGCTGCGCCGATGCCGGCACACCGCCCACGCGTTTCGCTGCCCCCAGAAGGGGGCTTCACCGCAGGCCTGGAGCCAAAGCGGCCGCGGATGCAACGCGTTTTGAATACGTGACGTGGGGCCCCAAATCTCCTTCACACTGCGAGCGCATTCTGATTTCATGAGCCGCAGATGTAGGGGGCGGGCGGCAGGGGCGCGGCGTTGGCGGGCGGAGGCGGAGGTGAGATGCGGGGGCGGGGGTGGGGCGTGAGGCGTGGATGGGGGCGGGCGCAGGGGGGGAGCTCGATCCGGCGCCCGCCGCGCGGCTGCGCATCTGCTACGGGACGCAGCCTCTGCCAGGCGCGCGGGCCTTGGCGCCCCGGCGAGCGGCGCCCGGCGCATCCTCGACCGATGCCCGCGGCCGCGTGCCTCGAGCGCCGTGGCGTGGCAGAGGCGGAGGCCAGCATCGCAAACAGCGCCATTCGGAAACAGGGCTGCGTGGCACGCTACCATGATGGGCACGCGCTGAACGAGCGGTGCTTTTGCCGCGCGGCGTCGTAGGCCGAGCGCGACGCCATGGCCCCCAGCGTTCGCGAGGGGCCCGACGCGCGCGGACAAGTTACTGGAGGGCCAGAGCCTGAGGCGGCGAAGCACCATTTCCGCTTTTGTTTGTGAATGTAGGTTCGGGGGGAAGGGCGGCGAATGGGTGGGAACATGGTTTCTGTTGCAGAAGGCGCGCGAACCTCAGCAGCGCGGTCAACCGGGGCGCTCAGAGGCGGTTGGCGGTCAACCAGGGCGCTTGGAAGTTCGATGGCTCGCGGGGCGCGGCGCCAGCAAGCGCTGCGCCGATGCGCGTGGCGCCGCCGCGTCGCGATTGCATGTCCCCCCCCTTGGCGCAACCCCGCTGGCGGGCGATGCGGCGCGTCGGCAACCCGGGGGCGATCGGCCGCAAATTGGCACAGTAAACGGCTTTCGTGTTGCGGCCTGCGTGGCGGGCGCCATCGGACTCCGCCCCCTCTTCGCCCCGCTGCGCGACGGTGGTCGGGTGGCGGGTGGGCGTTCCATGCATTGGCGGTGGCTGCATCTACCCGACAGCGACCGCGGCGGCGGCCGTGCTGTAGCCAGCGACGCTGGCTACAGCCCCCCGACGGCGACCGCGATGGCGGCCGCGGATGTCGCCATCCCGTCGAAGACCGCGACTGCGACGATGATTGCAGCCGACCCGCCGACGGCGCACGCCCCGAGATCCGCCGCGCCACTTGCGGGACGGGGCGGCGCTGCGCCCGCGCGCGGGCGACTCCGGCGCCCGATGGCGGGCGCAGCGGCAGGTGCCGCTGCCGCGCAGCTGGGCGTCAACGCGCAGATCTGCAGGCACTGCCGCTCGTCTGGCGGAGTGCGCTGGGTGCGCCCCCGCAGGCATTGCGCGCGACCGAGCTCCCGAACGCCGACGGGCGCCGAGTGCGGAAGGCACGGGGCGACTCGGCTTACGCGGCGGTTGCGGACGGCCCGAACCACCGTGGCGCCTTCGTGCCCACTTATGATTAGAACATGGTCATCGAGGGCCAGACGCCGCAGGCGATGCTGGTCTACTTCGCCAGCATCTGCCCCTCCTTTGCCGCCCGCGTGGAGGGCGCTGTTCGCGCGCGGCAGCCCGCGTCATCGGCGCCCTGGACGATCGCCCTCAACGCGGGCAAAAACCCGCCATGCAGCGCGCTCGCGCGCGCAGCGGACAGCAAGCGTTAGGGATGGCATCGGAGCACATGCAGCGACCCTCTCCAGCGAGGGCGTATCATGGGCGCGCGAAGCTGGGTGCTCTAGCGCCTCCCATGCGCTTCGACGCCGCAGAGTTGCAGCTGGTCCGTGCCGAACATGCGCACCCTGAGTCGGAGTAGTGGCGACGCATGGGATGTCGATTCCAGTGGCGATGCTGGTGCCGGTTGCAGGGCGCCTGGCTGTAAGTTGCAGTCGCGTGGCCCACGCTGGCGAAGCGCGTTGTGGGCGCGTGTCTGGACTGGCCACAGCCATCGTGGATCTGTTCGACGGCGAAACCGAGGCCCACCATCTGGCTACCGCGCACCTGCCTCACTGACGGGCGCCCCGGCGCATGCATGCACCCCTTCTTGTGAGCCGGCAGAGCGCGTGCAGACTTGAGGCGTCCGTGAGGTGCGCTCGCGCAAAGGCGCTGGCGGGCTGACGCCGTGTCTGGCGCGCAGCAGTGCGCGCGGCGGCAGCGGCGCTCGCGAGGCCGTCGGTCACGGCGGCGCCGTCGCACGCGCGCGCGTCGACAGCGCGGCGCTGCCGCCGTTCTGGCTGCCCTCTTCCGATCGGTCGCTCCATCCGCGGCGGTGCCCCGGAGCCAGTGCAAATTGGTGGAGGGTTAGGGGCCTGCTTCGCCTGTGCCCTTAACGCAGGCCCCCTCGCTGCATTCACGTCCGACCCCCCGCCCGCCGGATGGTCCACCCAGCGGCGACGATTTGCATGTGCAATGCGATCAGCGTCCTGTTCGTGAACGGCGCAGCCAGCGCGCGCATGGACCAGTGGATCTTGTGGGGAAAGGGTTGCGTCGCGACTTGCAAGTCGACGGACATCGCCGCGCGCGCTTCCGAGCGGCCGGTTTCCAGGCGTAGAGGGCAGAAGCCATCGGGCGGCAGGGCCGCCTGGGCGTTGCCATTGGAACGCCGCGGGAGTTAAATGTACGGCCTCCGAGGGGATCTGTGCGGCCCAGGGGGTCACGCATTTCACGTTGGCAGTTGTCTCGGGAACTCATCGCCTGCAGCGCTGAAGCCCGCGGTGAAAGCCTACGCGGGCGAGTTCCAGCGCCCGTGCTGCGCCGGGGCGATGGCCCCGAGTCTTGACCACGCAATCGTCTGGCTCGCTCTCCGCCCGTCCCGTGGAGGAAGGGTGCAGCGCAGGTGCGTTTATAGTAGACCGTGCCATCTGCGCGCATGTACACCTATATATATATATATATATATATATATATATGTATGTATGTATGTATGTATGTATGTATGTATGTATATATATATGTGTGTATATATAAATGTATATATATATATATGCATACACATATATATATATACATATATATATATATATATACCGTCACATTTCTATAGGTGTAGTGTTGCCCATGTAGGGCCGAAGGCTGCAGCCGCGCCGCGGCCCAACAGCGCTCAAAGCGCCGGGGCCGGGAGCGGGGGGGGGGGCGGCGAAGGCCGCGGCGACGAGGGCGCTTCGGGTCGGCAAGACGGAGAGCTGGCGCAAGGATTGCCATGGAGGGTTAACGCGATGACGGCTACGGGCGTGGATCTGGCTAGGGCGAGGGCGGCCGCCGCCCAGACGGTCGGTTTCGGCTCGAGTGAATTGTCGTCGCCGCGTGTGTATCCGCGAGAGGGAGCATCCGTTCGCACCCGCGCGCTCGCGCGGCGCGCGGGCGCGCGCGTGGATCTGATGCCCCCGCCCGCGCCTCAACGAAACGGGGCCCTTGCCAGCGCGGGGCGGAAACACGAGGTCATCGAGACACGCGCGAACCACATCTCTACCAGTTGCGTCCAGCATTGCAGCGGGTAGGATCGGTCCGTCCTGTGGGGCGTCACTACCGAGCGCATGCGCGGCATCACCGAGGATGCGTTCGATTTGGGCGCGGGGTTTTTGGCGCCGAAGCCCGCGCCCAAGAAACTGAAGGGCGAGCTGTAGCCTCCTTGGCATAGAGTCCAATTGCACATCTGCCATCGCGTCTCCGTTGGCGACGTCTCGGTGATGCGGAACGCGGCAGGCGGTTACGTGGTGAGCCAGGTGTGGCACTTGGTTGCCATCGAGTGTCTCGCCTCGCGCATGGCAGCGCCGTGTCACGCGGCCCCGGCGCGGATCTGCGGCGCCAAGTACGGCGCCAGAATCTGGTGGACTTCGGCGGCGCGCGGCGCCAAGTAGCAGAGCGTGGCCTTAGACGAAATCCCGCGGGGGGTGCGCCGTGGTCCATGGAACCCAGAGACCGCGCGATTGTCTTCAATCCGCCTGACTACGGCTGAACAAATGGCACGGATCCGTAGCTCATGCGCGCCGAGCGCCGTTGGTTGCAGCCGCGCAGAAAGCATTGAGCTACATATCCAGCGGCTGCGACCTGCATCATCCACATTTCCGTTTCTGCTATACCTTAACATAGTTTAGCATAAGGTAGCGCAGTTCACACCCTAACGTAATTACAACGCCAACATAATGCACCATCGTTTTTTTCATGAAGCAGCTTAACTAACTGTCAGAGACCCTGCGAACGCTCATGCGCGTGAAAGCGTGTCACACTTCAGCTGGACTCGGCCAAACCATTGTCACGATTTAGCGCGCTTAGCTAACACCTTATAAAGCTTGGGGGGGGGCCTGTTTTTAAAAAAGTACGGCCTGGCGTAAACAAGGATAAACAATCCTGGGAGGTGAATTCATCATTGGCGCTGATGCATCCGTGATCCAAGGTGGCTTCACCCACTCAATCCTAATAGGTCCCACGCGATTCAGCTTAGTCCCGCCCAATCCCGGGCTCAATCTAGTTCAACCTGGCCCCGTAGCCCGTCAGTCTTGCTTGGTTGCCCGTTAGTCGTTCTGACAAAGACCTCCCAGGAGTTGGTTCCCCACTCAGGATTCCCAGGGTGCCCCCCGCAACCTCCAGAGTACCCCTCACGAGGCCCTGGGGGCCTCATGGGCCCTGAGGTCCCAGTCGCGAGAAGCTGTGGACACTGTAGTCCAGGGACACCTTTGGCAAGCCCCGCGCCGCATAGCCGCTGCATGGGGACGGAACCCGATCACACGTCGCCAGCGCATCTCCGATGCATCGGCTGCGCGTTGCGATCCTTCGGCCCCGTCCATATCGGGCCCACGCGGGCGGCCTCCAAAGAAGAAAATGAGCACAGGGAAACAATTGCGGGCTGAATTGTCATTGCCTTCGACCTTCCATCAGGTACCTTCCCCGCCCCCTTGGGGCCGTCAGTAAGCGGTTCTGGATGAGGAGTCGGTGGCGGGGGAAGGCGCCAGAGTCCAGGACGCAGCCTCTCCGGGATTTCTCCGGGTCCATTTCGATCCGATCGTCCCGATTCGACATCAATTCCGATCACCTCGATCCGACTCCATTTCGATGTTTCGTCGATGCGACTCGCAGTCGATCCATTTCGATTTTCTCTCCGTGCCGCCGAAGCCAGACCCGACGTACAGGTCGATCCGATCCAATTTATCGATGCGGTGCTGACTGATCCTCCCCCGCTCATCCGTGCCAAGGTGGACGTGATGGCAGAAACGGGGAGGCGGCTGCAGATCTCGCCTTTCTACGTCTCTTTCGTCATGGCCCCCATCGCGTCGAACGCCACCGAACTCGTTGCCGCGTACAACTACGCCTGCAAGCGGACGACCAAGTCCATGACGACCTCTCTCGGCACGCTGCTGGGCGCGGGGGTCATGAACAACACGTTCTGCCTCGGAATATTCTTAGGGTTGCTGGGGGATGCAAAGTATCACGTGTGCACCGATCCCCGACCGGTTCATCCCAGGGTTGGCGCACAGTGCGCTCTCCTGGCGAGGCAGAGTGGCGAGCGGAGGGAGAAGAAGAGTGGGGAGAGGAGGGTGAGGATGAGAAGGCCGAGGAGCAATGCTACGAATGGAGCCACGAGACGGAGAGTAGGCATAGGATAAGCACGATGCATGTTCATTTGGGCTAGAACCTAAGCGCGCGAGGCGCGCGTGATCCTAGTATATCCAGCTGCCAGCGACACACCCCTCCACCGCGCCAGCGTAGCAGCGCAGCGTGATGGATGTAGGGTTAACGATGCATGCTGGAGCTTTTTTGGGGCCTATTGACAACCTCGCCGACACCATTTCGGTTCGTGTAGGGGGCTGTTGTGGTCTGTAGGGGGGCCTCTGGTATGCCTCTTGGGAGTCTTTTGGGCCTCTCTGGGGCGTCTGTGAAGCCTCTGGAGTTCTTTGAGGGGCCTCTTCGGTACCTCGGGGGTTTTGGAGGCAATCCTGCAGGACATCGATTTCAAGGCCATCTCGATTCCCTAGGTTGGGCCCCTGCTGGGGCCTTCATGAGCCGTTGTGGGAGCATCCTGGGTCGTCTTGGGTGCCCCTTGGGCTGTCTTTAGGGCCTCTTGGGCAATCTTGGAGCACCCATGGGCCGTATCGGGGCCCTCTTGGGACCCTCTTGGCATGGCTTGGGACCATAGTGGGAACGCTGTGAACAGATGTTGGTCGGAAGCCAGAAAGGGAGAGCATATTTCAATGTGTCAACAACCATACAGACAAACCGAACAACATGTGTTGCTCTCGAGGGCCTCTTGGGCGTCCTCTTGGAGCCCTCCTGGGCAGTCCTGGTGGGCGCCTCTGGGGGCCTCTGGGTCCGTCTTCGGGCCATGTTGGGTAATTTTCTGGCCCTCGTGGATCGCCTGGAGGCCTTCTTGGGCAGTCTAGAGACCTCCTTGGCGGCTTTTTTAGCCGTCTATGGACGAGCTCAGTCGTCTTGGTGCGTGTTTGATGGTGTTGCCGTTGTTGTCGAGAGTTGTTTTGTGGTTTGTGTTGTTTGTGTTGTGTTTGCTGTTATTGTTCAACCCCCGTGTCTAAATAACAAGTATTGGTTGACCTCCCTGTCTGGTAACCAATCTGTACGTTTCAATTATGCTTATCTTGGGGCTCGCAATCTGTTTGTTCTGTTATAAGGGAAAGCGAGGTGTCACCAAACTGTGCCCCTCTGGCCCCCCGCTTACAACAACTACACCAACAACCGCAGCTGCAACAACAACCTCAACAGCTCCCGCCAGATACGTTCTCACAACTTATTCACTAATCACGCTCTCGCGCAGGACGTCCTCACAATTTATACAGGAATCGTGCTCTCGCGTGGGACTTCCTCGGCATTGATTGAGACGCCGCGCCCTCGACACTCAGGAATCACACCCTCGCATTGGATTTCCTCACTTCAGTTGGGAATCGCGCTATCGCTCGGGACTGGCTTGCGATTCATGCAGGGCGTACGCTTCAGCAATCCGCCTGCCCCTTGCTCATTTCTTCCATCCGTCCTCTCTTCCCCTGCCTTAAGGACTGCACGAAATACACGTTGCAGGTCAGAAGGATACACCCCTAAGGGGGTACGATCGAAGACGAAGAGGGCGGGTATCGAGTGTTTGGGATCTACGTGTTGACTGGCACGCGAGCAGACAAATGCGACTGATGTTTCTTCAAATGTATTGAGACATCGCGCTTTCGCTAGAGACCTCCCTAAACTTCACTCAGGAAACGCGCTCTCGCTTGGGACTGCTCACCATTCTAGACTTCGCGTAACCCCACCAGCCCATCCAGAAACGATGCATAGAGGAGTTGCCTCGATCAGGGAAGTGGGCAGCACACAGAGGAAGGGTCTTACAGTGAAGGCCGCTTTGAGCGTCTCCGGGACCTCTTGGCGGTTCCGGACACCTTAGAGCGTTTTGGGTGCCTCGGAGAGTTTCTTGTGGCCTCTTGGGGGTCTGTTGGGAGCCTCTTGGGCGCCTCTTGGGCGCCTTCTGGGGCCTCCTGGGGCCTCCTGGGTGCTCTTTGGGCGCTCTTGAGCGCTCTTTGGGCCGTCTTGGGAACTCTTTGGCCACTTGGAGTCGTCTTGGAGCGGTCTTGGGGCCTCTCGGAGCATCGTGGGAGCCATCTTGAGGCATCCTGGGATATCTTGAGCCATCTTAGAGGTCATCTTGGGCTCTCCAAGGCGCTCTTGGAGTCATCGTAATCAGTGCCCCCCCACCCGGGAGGCCAAAATGTGGCCAAAACCTTTGCAACAATCAATGATTTTCGCGTTCTTGCCGATGCCTCTTGAGCGTCTTGTGGGGGCCTCGTGGGGCCTCTTGGGGGTCTCTTGGGAGCTTCTTGGGGGCATCCTGGGGGCCTCTTGGGGCCTCTTGGGGCCTCCTGGCCACCTCTTGGGGCACCCTTGGGAGCCTTGGGAGCGCTCTTGGGGCCATCTCGGAGGAGACCGATAAAATCAGGGAGATTCCTTAATTAGACCCCCCCCCCTCTCCCCCAGGAGGCCAAAATGGGGCCAACACCTTCGTAAAACCAGTGAGTTTGGCTTCCTCGCCGAGCCCGTTTTGCACGCTCCAACTACCCGCGAACCCCCCCGTCCAGGTCCAGGGGAGTGGGTAGGGGGAGGGGTAAACCCCTCCCCGAAGGGGAAGAGGGAGGGGTGCAAGAGGAAGCTCCCTAAACCACCTTGCGCCCGCCGCTCCTCGTCAATCACGCTCTCGCTTCGGACTTCTTCACAGTTTACTTGGGAGTCGCGCTGTAGCTGTCGGTTTTCTGCCGGTTCGTGCAGGACTCACGCTTCAGCAGCCCGCCCGCTCGGCTTGCCTTCCTGGATCGCCCGCCCGACCCGCCCGTTGGGGCCCGTTGTCGCCCCTCGCTGTCTTTCTGCCACCTTCAATGCCCCCCGTTGCCCTTTGTGGCCCCGCTGTCGCCCTTCGTGGCCCAATCGCTGCCTTCAATGGCCACGTTGCTGCACTCGCTGGCCCCGTCGCTGTCTTTGTTGTGGGCCCACGTGCGTGTGCCCTCCGTGGCCCCCGCCGGGCCACGTGTGTGCGTGCCCTGGCTCATACAGCAATCACTTCAGCACGTGGGCATCACAGAAGATGGACAAAAGCAGGACAGGATCTCTGATCCGAGGATGCGGATGAGGAATCGGGAGATGGTGAAACAGAGGAAACGGGCGAGAGGCCAGACCACGGTGGATTACAAGATGGCCGATGATCAAAGAGGTGAGATGTGCACTGGCGGGATCGCAGTCCAGTGCGGGTGGAGTTGCCACACTTTGCGATGAGTTGGGCTAAGGAGGCATTTCCACACCGTGCGATTGCATCGAACACATGCTCCGACGTCACTCTTGAGAGAATGTCTCGAGCGAAAGTGCCGTGCTTGTGAACATGAAGGCAAGTGAACACATATCGGACTTCAATTTCTCCAAGAACCGAGTCCAAACCATTGCACATCATTGAGCTGTCTGAACATGTAAAACAATATGTAGTGTGTTTAGAGCTTGGGGTCGTGATCTGCGGAAGGGTCAGAACCCTGTGGATGTTGTCAAGCGGAAGTGTCAGAACAAGTTGCAGTTGACCAAGTGTGAGTTGTTCCCAACCATCCTGTGGTGTTGGGTCCTCGTTTTGAAGAGACGGTGCCCCGCGTTCCCGCCTCTTTCCTCCCTACCTCCTCCCCCGTGCTCCCCCTCCCACACCCATTCTGGCACACCCCTCACACGTTTCATGGCCCCATAGGGAGCTCCACCGAAGGCCCCAGTGGCTGCGCCCGCATGCGGTTCCACCCCCCATTCTGGCACACCCCTCACACGTTTCGTGGCCCCATAGGGAGCTCCACCGAAGGCCCCAGTGGCTGCGCCCGCATGCGGTTCCACCCCCCATTCTGGCACACCCCTCACACGTTTCGTGGCCCCATAGGGAGCTCCACCGAAGGCCCCAGTGGCTGCGCCCGCATGCGGTTCCACCCCCCATTCTGGCACACCCCTCACACGTTTCGTGGCCCCATAGGGAGCTCCACCGAAGGCCCCAGTGGCTGCGCCCGCATGCGGTTCCACCCCCCATTCTGGCACACCCCTCACACGTTTCGTGGCCCCATAGGGAGCTCCACCGAAGGCCCCAGTGGCTGCGCCCGCATGCGGTTCCACCCCCATTCTGGCACACCCCTCACACGTTTCGTGGCCCCATAGGGAGCTCCACCGAAGGCCCCAGTGGCTGCGCCCGCATGCGGTTCCACCCCCCATTCTGGCACACCCCTCACACGTTTCGTGGCCCCATAGGGAGCTCCACCGAAGGCCCCAGTGGCTGCGCCCGCATGCGGTTCCACCCCCCATTCTGGCACACCCCTCACACGTTTCGTGGCCCCATAGGGAGCTCCACCGAAGGCCCCAGTGGCTGCGCCCGCATGCGGTTCCACCCCCATTCTGGCACACCCCTCACACGTTTCGTGGCCCCATAGGGAGCTCCACCGAAGGCCCCAGTGGCTGCGCCCGCATGCGGTTCCACCCCCCATTCTGGCACACCCCTCACACGTTTCGTGGCCCCATAGGGAGCTCCACCGAAGGCCCCAGTGGCTGCGCCCGCATGCGGTTGGCCACCCCCCAGTGGTTGTTTCGTGGCCCCATAGGGAGCTCCACCGAAGGCCCCAGTGGCTGCGCTCCACCCCCCATTCTGGCACACCCCTCACACGTTTCGTGGCCCCATAGGGAGCTCCACCGAAGGCCCCAGTGGCTGCGCCCGCATGCGGTTCCACCCCCAATTCTGGCACACCCCTCACACCCATAGGGAGCTCCACCGAAGGCCCCAGTGGCTGCGCCCGCATCGGTTCCACCCCCCATTCTGGCACACCCCTCACACGTTTCGTGGCCCCATAGGGAGCTCCACCGAACGCTCCAGTGGCTGCGCTCGCATGCGGTTCCACCCCCCATTTCGGCACACCCCTCACACGCTTCGTGGGTGGCTCCATGGGGAGCTCCACCGAACGCCCCAGTGGCTGCGCTCGCATGTGGTTCCCCCCCATTTCGGCACACCCCTCACACGGTTCGTGGCCCCATAGAGAGCTCCACCGAAGGCCCCAGTGGCTGCGCTCGCATGCGGTTCCACCCCCTTTTTCGGCACGCCCTTCGCACGTCTCGTGGCCCCATAGGGAGCTCCACCGAACGCCGCAGTGGCTGCGCTCGCATGCGGTTCCACCCCCCATTTCGGCACACCCCTCACACGCTTCGTGGCTCCATAGGAGCTCCACCGAAGGCCCCAGTGGCTGCGCTGGCATGCGGTTCCACCCCCATTCTGGCACACCCCTCGCACGTTTCGTGGCCCCATAGGGGGCTCCACCAAAGGTCCCAGTGGCACTGCCCGCTTGCGTCCGCCACCACCCAGCACAGCCCTTGTTCCCTGCGCTTCACCCACCCAGAACAGCGCTTCGTAGCCCTATAGGGAGCTCCACCAAAGGTCCCAGCGGCACCGCCCGCATGCGTCCGCCACCACCCTGCACAGCCCTTGCTCCCTGCCTGCGTTTCACCCACCCACTACAGCGTTTCGTGGCCCCATAGGGAGCTCCACCGAAGGTCCCAGTGGTACCGCTCGCATGCGTCCGCCACCACGCAGCACAGCCCTTGCTGACCGCGTCTCACCCACCCAGTACAGCGTTTCGTGGCCCCATAGGGAGCTCCACCGAAGGTCCCAGTGGCACCGCCCGCATGCGTCCGCCACCACCCAGCACAATTGCGGCATTCACAACTGCATATGGTTGGGTCCTTCGCCAGGCTAATTGTTTGTTTCGGGGAGGTAAGTCTGATATTCTATAGTTTGCAACATGCAAGCGTGCACCAATGCTTGGCTCAGGGTTAGCCTGAACGGTGTCCGCGCATGGGTGTACTGCTCCTTTTGGCTTTTCCAGGCTTGTCTACTTCAAGTCTCTCGCCTGGGAGTTCTCGGCCGAGACGCTCTCCATCCTCGTCGTCGAGGCCGTGGTGGCGCTGCTGGTGTGGGGCCGCAGGAGCATGAATCTGCTGTCTGGGCTGGTTGTGCTGGCGCTGTACCCGCTGTCGCTGTACGTCGTGTGGGCCCTGACTCAGGTGGCGGAGTACAGGTATTCAGACATAGGAGAGTCGCGGGCGGGAAGTACAGTGGAGGCCCATGCGAAGAGACATCCTGCTTGCCTTCAGGGTGCCCTCGGCGTCTTGTGTTTCGATGGCTCTGCCCTGAAAAGCGCGACGCCCCCTCGATCGACGTCCTGGGGTCTCAGGACTGGGTTTCTTTTGGTGGAAGGTTTGTTTGTGGGCTGGCCTGCACTGTATCCGTGGACAGCGTATCCACAGAGGAGAAGGAGGAGCAGGAGGAGGGGGGATGGAGGAGGGATGGCGGAGGGATGGAGGAGGGATGGACAAGGAGGAGGAGGAGGGATGGACAAGGAGGAGGAGCAGGAGGAGGAGGAGGAGGAGGAGGAGGAGAGGAGGAGGAGGCCCCAGAGGTCAGACTGGCCTCCGCTGGCCTCCTCTGCATGTCTGCCTCCACAGCCCAGCGGCCTGGACCCCTCGGGCGCGGCCCCCCTCGGACACGGGGCGGCCTCTGCGCGGAGGCCCCGCGCCGGACGCACGTCCACAGGATCGCCGCATCCGCGCGCGGACCGCGCCCAGGTGTGTCCTCCTCCCTCCTCCCTCCTCCCTCTTCCTCCTCTCCTCCTCCTCCCTCCCTCCTCCTCCCTCCTCCTCCTCTTCCTCCTCCCCCTCCCTCCTCCTCCTCCTCCTCCTCCTCCTGGTGCAGGCATGACGTCACGAATCAGCCGTGGTTCAACGCCTCCACCCTTGTGTACTGCAAGAAGTGCGGCCTGCACAAGAGCAACTGTTTCAAGGAGAACAAAGCGGCGTCGCAGCCCAGCGTCTCGGCCAAGCAGCAGTCGCTCGCGGCCAAGGTCAAGGAGCTCGAGGCGCAGCTCGCCAAGCTCCGCGAGCATCCCCCTGGGCACGGGCCAGCGGCTACGGGTACAGGTGCGAGCCCACCTTGGGCTGCCGCGCCTGGGGATGCCGACGCCGTCAAGAGGAGCCGAATCAAGATGCTGGATCAGTTGCTTCGGGTCACTACTGACCCTGCTGATGCTGGTATTGTGGCCAAATGGCGTGAGGAGCGAGCTAGGTTGGACGCTGAGCTCTTTCAGGATAGGCCCATTGAGCATCAGGCCAGGTCATTGGCGTCAAGACTGTCCTCCGCCCGTTCGCGACAGGCTACCATCCAGGCCACTCGCGACGAGCAGCAGAGGAAGATCGACGAGCTCACCCGCGGCCTGGCCGACACTGACTCCAAGTTGCAGGAGGCGGCTGCGGAGGTCCTCCGCCTGGAGCAGCAGACTCGCGCCGCCATGTCGCGAGTCCAGCCGCCCGAGGGCACTCAGCCACCGACGTTGGCGGACCTGCTGCCCACCTTCGCGGTCAGCGTGGAGCAGCTGGGCAAGGTTGCATCGGGCCTCGGTCTCGGCGCCGACATGGTCAAGGAGCTGCAAGCTATGGCCGACACGGTCAGCAAGCTGCAGAATATGCCGCAGGCCAAGCCGCCTGAACCTGCACCTGCCCATGATGATGAGGATGGTGATGAGTCTTGTGCTGAGCCACCTGACATCGAGATGTCCGAGCAGGAGTACCGTGAGACGCTGGGTGCAGCAGGGGTCCAAGTCGAAGAGAGCGACACCCCTGACATCGTGCGTGAGAAGTTCAAGAGCCTTCAGCAGAGCTACTTGGACACTGTGGCCAAGAAGGCCAAGACGTCGGCGTGAATGTGCTCGGCTTGATATGCTGTTGCTTTGGCTCTTTGTCACCATGGTCAGCTCTACATCAGCGCAACATATCGAGAGTCCGCCTCAGTCATCTTCGACGGCGGCTAGCAGTCTGGGCAGGGGGGAGAGGGATTCAGCCCCTCATCGTCACACCCCCCTGCCCACATCGGCGTCTAGTTCCATGACCTCGGCTGGCACTACGGCGCCTACATTATGCCCCCCACTGGCCCGCTCCTCGGGGTGGGGGACAGCTCCGACCCTGACGGCGGCCTCGCCTACTTCGGTTGGGCCTGCTGCTCCGTCTGGGGCGACCACGGCATCACAGAGGGCTACTCCGTCTACGCCTACGCGGTTGGCCCCTGGCAGCACGCACTGCTCACCGACCTCACCTTCGGGGAGTGGCGGCAGAGGGTACCGACCGTCTTCGGACGGCACGCACCGCTCACCGCCCTTGCCCTCGGAGAATCCAGGCGGCAGAGAGTGCCGACTGCCAGGGGCCCCACCGGGCCAGAGCGGCCCAGTGTGCACTACTTTGGATGACGATCATGACTTCTTTGAGGACGTTGAGCCTGACATGGAAGCAGATCTGTGTGAAGGCGCATTTCATGAAGCGCCATCCTCGTCCCCACCTTCTTCCCGATTGCGCTTCGAGAAATCAAGTCAAGAACGCGCTGCACCTACCTCGCCTTTGCCGCCAGGAAGCACGGAGGCGAAGGTGCAGCCAATGCATGCAGTATCTCAGCCGCAGCTCAAGGGCCTCATCACAACGGTGAATGCTACGAGCTACGGCCCTCTCTTTGACTTTTTGGCTACCTATCGGGGAACTATCTTGCTGGCACAAGAGTTGAGGATTACCGACTCTAGGCTTGGTGAGTTTCAGGCCAGGGCCTTGGATGCTGGATGGCACGGGCTATGGGCCCCGTCGCCCTCTACGGGTGACTCAGCTACGTCCAACTTCGGAGGGGTCGCTGTACTTGTGCCGACATACATCATGGTCACAGCCCCACCTGATGATGGGCACATTATCTACCCAGGACGAGCAGTCTGTGCACAGATTAACTGGGGAGTGGCAGGCGGCATCATAGTCGCCAGTGTGTATCTTGTCACGTCCATTGGCATATCGGGCGGGAACATTGAGGTGTTGTGGGCCTTGGCACAGAGAGTTGCGGCATGGGACTCACGGGGCCTCGACTGGATCCTAGGTGGCGACTGGAACTCCGACATCGATGCGCTCAATGTTCGCAACTGGGTCGAGACCATGGCGGCCGTCCACTACGTGCCCGACCAGCACACCTGCATCACCGATGAGGGCAAGAGCACCATAGACTATTTCGTCGTCTGTGCCAATTTAGCGTCTCGCATCAAGGGCAAGCCAGAGGTCCAGTATGACTCCACGGTCGTGCCGCCGCCGCATTTCCCTGTAGAGCTGCAGCTCATGGGCGAGGATCGCCCCACGTGGTGCCGCGTCCCTGTGGAGCCACGTCCCTTTGCGGTGGTGCCGCCAGTTGGCTGTGCTAGGTATCCCTACCCGTGGCACAGACTTCAGACAGAGTTCCAACGGGTCAGCTGTGCCGACGATCTGAGCCCGCTCTGGGACTCCGTGTTGCGAGGGGTGGACTACGAGCTGGCAGGGCGTTACGACTGCGTGGGTGCTAAGGCCATGCAGTACATCGGACGCGAGGGGCCGCCGCAGTTCAAGTGGCAGCACTTGTCATGGCAGCCGCCACGCAGGCGCACCTACAAGGAGCCGACTGTGCTGGCCTGGGCCACGGCGAAGCGATGGGCCCAGCACCTTGTGGCTGAGAAGAAGCGGCTGGCGAGGTACATCGAGCGCCTCAAGCTCTGTGCTGCCGTGTGCGACATCACGCCGCTGCAGTGCACTAAGGTCGTCGTGGCTTTCAACGAGGTGGCTGCCTTTTATAGACGCGCGGCTCGGTCAGAGCATGTGCTGTGTGTTTTGGATGCTGCCTTCGCAGGCTTCTTTCGGCGAGGGCTGACTGGCTTGGTCGAGGCTGACTTTGAGGACGTAGCCAAGGCAATCATTGCCAGAGCTAAGCATCATTTGAGAACGGCACAAAGAGCGTCAGAGAAGGCCTGGAGGCAGTGGGCCAAAAAAGCCTTCCTGGGAGGAGCATCTCGGGCGCATTCGTCCTCCAAAGTTCGGGCTCGACAGGAGGTGCTTGCCTACTCCCACGACGCTCAGCCATACCAGATGGCTGACCGCACGCTCGACAAGTGGAAGGACGTTTGGACTTACCACGGTGCATGTTCTCTGTCGCTGCCTGCCGATCACGCTCAGTGGCCTTTGCTTCCGCCTTTGTCTGCATCACAGGTGCGTGGAGCCATCAGGAGTTTTCCGTTGAAGACGGCCTCGGGCCAGACGAGGATCGCGCCACGCACGCTCGATGTGTTGTCCGACCAGGCCTTGCAGAGCCTGGCCGATATGTTCATGCTGTTTGAGAGTTGGCTGGCCTGGCCCACGGACAGGCTCTACAGCGAGCTTGTTCGCCTGCCCAAGCCTGACGGGGACACTAGGTTGATCGTCCTCAGCAATACTTTCGTCAGGTTGTGGGGAAAGCTACGTCGGCCGCTTTCGGCGGAGTGGCAAGAGGCGCATAGGTGCGGGCATGTGTGGGGGTCAAGGGCTGGGCAGACTTCGACCGATTCAGCCTTCGACCACAACCTGAGCCAGGAGATAGGAGAACTTTTAGGTGAGCACACATGCACCATTCTCTTGGACATGACCAAGTGCTTCGATATGGTCAGTCACAGTGCACTTCTCCGAGAAGCTAGAGAGCTCAGGTACCCGCTGAGGCTCCTGTGGTTGCTCCTGGGCTCCTACCGCCAGCCGAGAAGGATCAAGTGTTTTGGGTCTGTATCTAGGCCCTTGGTGGCCCATCAGGGTATTCTTGCGGGCTGCACGCACGCCACGTACCTTCTATACCTCCTCACGTACCGAGCGGTCCAGCGCACGGCCAGTATTGCACCTACTATCACGCCACGCACGCTCATGGACGATGTGGGTCTGCAGTACGTGTCGCCCGTATTGAGGGAGGTGTCCAACCTGGCCCGAGCGGCCAAGGCGTTTACGTCGGATGCAGGAGATCTTGGGATGGTCCTGAAGCCGCCGAAGTCTGGATGTATCCCTGGGAACCAAAAGGTTTGGGGACAGCTCAAGAGGCACCTGGGAACCTTGAAGATCCCGTACAGGGCCCACATGAGGAATCTGGGACACGAGCTCACAGGACCTCGAGTTCTTCGGCGTATGGAGAAGCGTAGGTTGGTGCAGTTTCGAGAGCGCAAGCATCGTTTTCGCATGTTGAAGTCCGCCGTGGGGCGGGGTGCTACCAGCTTGTGGCGCACGGGCGCCCTTCCATCAGTGGCGCATGGCGGTGCAGTTGCTGGAGTTAGCGACAGCGCTCTTCGTGAGTTGCGACATTGTGCTGCAGTCCTAAATGGTGCTCCAGGTAAGACGATGGTTGGGGTAATTGCGTATCTCATATTTCATCGGGATGAATGTTCTGACCCCATATATAACGCTACCACGGACATTGTGCTCAAATACGCCTCCTGGATCTGGGACGGGCGAGTGCAACCTAGCAGACTTCGGGAGGCTTGGGTACGTCTGGGTGCTAAGTTTGAGAGTTCACCTTCCTGGGCCAAAGCGCGCGGGCCCCTCGGGGCCACTTGGCTTACTTTGAGGCGCATATCCTGGACTATGTCGTCAGAGCACATCCTGGCCGACGATTTGGGAAACAGTTTTGATTTATATCGTATATGTCCAGCAGACCTACGAGTGTTCCTGCATCAAGGCATTCAGCGCTGGCAGCACCATAGGTTGCAGCAGCATTTTTACACCGAGCAGGCGGACGTGTGGCATCGTGCGCTGCGCCACGCGCTCGCCAAGATAAAGTGTCACAGGCGCCTCGGAGCGCTGCAGGCTTTGTGGGCTGACAACCTTCCCATCCCACCGCGTCGGGACATGAAGCACGGGAGGCCCATTAGGCCATGTCAGGCCTGCGGCAAGGCTATCGACTCCTGTTGGGGTCATATCTTTTACGACTGCCCGCCGCTCCTCGATGGGGACCCCGACCAGGAGTATTATGAGTTTCCAGAACAGCTTCAGGAGGTTCGTGGCATGCATCAGGCGTCTGGGCAGATGCTGGGGTGCGCCGACTGGGACCAGAGATACCTGATCTATGGGGTTCCCGAGCCTGTTGCTGTACCGCACTACACCACGGTCTCCAATGAGGTTTTTGAATGGGGAGATGTCTCGGGCTCTTGGGGGCCTACGTCATATACTGACGGTTCGGGGTTCTCGGCCAGCATTCCTGAAGTACGTAGGTGTGGGTGGTCGGTCTGCCAGCTGGGCCCCGTCACGTGGCTCCCCGCCAGAGCTGTATATGGGCCCTTGCCCTACTATGTGCAGACAGTAGGACGTGCTGAGCGCTATGCCATCAAGATGGGACTTCAGAGGCATCCTGGGCATGAGGTTTTCATTTCTGATCTGAAATCGCTCGTGGAGGAGGGTGCGTCCTGGGACCAGAGGCTAGAGTTTGGCAAAGCGAAGCACGCCCGAGTCTGGAGAGATATTTTTTCGGCTGCCAGAGCACGCGATCCACGTCTGCCACCAGTGCGGTTTCAGTGGACTCCAGCTCACAGGAAGCTGGAGGACATCATCGGGTCGGCCACGCCAGACGAGCTGGAGGCCTACGTCGGCAATGCCTGGGCCGACTTCTTCGCGAAGTGTGGCAGCGCTGCGCATATGGTGTCAAAGACACTGGCTGACAGTTTGGCAGCTGGACTGAAGCAACACAGGCAGGTCCTGCACTATGTGTCGTGGGCGGCCTTCCAGGTTGTGCAGTTTCGGAGGTGGGGAGCTGACCCTGTCGTGGAGCAGGACCCAGAGCTCGCCCAGGTGCCCAAGCGTGTGGTTTTCGAGAGGCCCCAGGACCACGAGTTGCTCTTCTGCCAGAGGATGTCTGAGTATCGGTGTCGACGGTGCAATCGGGTCGCTCGGAGTGCGAGTACCCTCCAGACTCTTCGCTCGGGAGCTGATCGGGTATGTGCTCCCTCGCCTCTCGTCCAGAGCCTTGCCGAGGACTTCTTTCTGCTGAGTTCTGAGGCGTGGCTGAGTGTTTCGGATTCTAGGGTCACGGCGGCCATCGAGGCGGCCGATAGGATGTTGGGGTCCACGTCTCGGCCTTTGGAGGCCTCCTCGGCGTTCCCCGCGGTCCCTCCTCAGCCGCTGGAGCAGGTGTCTGCTGCCAGAGGCTCGGCCGACGTTCCCCAACCTGTGCTTGCCGAATTCGCTGAATTGGGGCATGACGTTTTCTGTGTTAATTCCGTGTATTGCTGCCGCAAGTGCGGTGGCAATTTCAACGGGTCCGAGTCCTTCAGGTCCGCCCGCAAGCTGCGGGCGCGGTGCCAAGGTTTCTCGGAGAATCCAAAGACTAGGGCGAACCAGCTCACGGCGATCGACCGTATCACTCGTGGCCTGGAGCCCCGCCAGCGTGGGGCAGGAGCGGCGCGTTCTGGCCCGAACCCTGCCCCCTAGTGTTTCTTTTTGGACTTGGGCCTGGGAGGTTTTCTTGGGTGTGGTTTTCCTGAGGCGCCCCACCCTCTCCCAGGCTTCCGCCTTCCGCCACCCCTGTGGCTCTCAGGTCTCACACGCGGTTGGTGTTCGTCACTCGGACGCCTCTCCTGCGGCTCGCCCTCCTCCTCCTCCTCCTCCTCCTCCTCCTCCTCCTCCCCCTCCTTCTCCTCCCTCCTCCCTCCGCCGCCGCCGCCGTCTCCGCCTCCTCCTCCGCCTCCGCCTCCGCCTCCGCCTCCGAGCTGGACTGCGGAGGCTGGCACGTGGGCGTGTCCGTCACTGGCAAGAGAGAGCTCGAGGTTCGAGGTCCTCGGGGGGGGAGGAGGAGGAGGAGGAGGAGGAGGAGGAGGAGGAGGAGGAGGAGGAGGAGGAGGCGGAGGAGGAGGAGGTCGAGGCCCCAGAACCGAGGCTCGAAGCTCGAGGCTCGGAGTTCTCGTCGGTTCTTACCGGTTCGCGGGCCTCGGGGTGCTCTCCAGCCGGTGCGCCTCGCCGAGAGGCGCGCGGGGTGCCCCGGTTGGCTCGAACGGCCGCCGGGCACCCGAGCTATGACCCAGATGGGTCGGACGACCACGCCGCAGCGCCGATGCATCCATCGGCAATGCGTCCTTTGTTCCGTCCTGGCGAAGCCCGTCCATCTGCGATGCATCGGCGACGCGGCGCGATGCTCCGACCCCATCTGCAGTCAAGGCGCTCAGAGAAGAACTACTTTTCGGCGGCGAGCGAAGGTGGGGATTGAGCAGGGGCGGGCCTTCTCAGAAGGCTCGGAAGCCCCCCAGCCTTCCGCGAAGTTTTTGAAGCTTTCTTCCCGAAGATATAAAAGAAAAACATATCCGAAGGCGCCAGGGCTATTGAGAAGCCCCGCCGCCTTCTGAGAAGGCCTTCTCGCTTTCCCCCTCGCTCGCCGCCAAGCGCTGGGCTCTCCGGAGGAGCCCTCTTGTCGTCGGGCCCGCTCCGCAGAGCTAGGTCGGGGGGGAAGACAAAGTGCCCCCCTGGACCCCTCAGGAGGGGAAACGAAAACACACAGACACAATTAATCGTCGATTCCAAGGAAAAGATTGAAAATATGGGAAGTGGGGGGGAAGACAAAAACCCTGAAAATATATGGGAAAATATGGGGAATCATTATATTTGTGTGTATTTATTTCTGTGTCCCAGGCTCCCTTCGACCCCTTTTGTCAGGCGATCGCAACCACGGATCAAGGGGGCGTGGATCAGCGACGGGTCCCGTATTCCACGGGGAAACCGCGGATCTCCGCCGCCGAGCGAGGCGGCATGGGCCGCATTTTGGGGCTGGGCACCTCGCCCGAGCCATGGATCTGGCGACCGCGCGCCAAATATCCATGGGTCGCGGATCCATGTCTGCGCGCCCCCGATGTGGGGCCCCGGCTGGCTCCCAGAGCAGCGCTGATGAAGGGCTCCTGTAGGGCCTTCTTTTGTTTGTTTGTGAGACTGCTGTGGGAGCACGGGGCTCCCGACACAGCTGGCCTGCTAGCGGCTTGGGGGACCGCCAAAACCGGCCCCCCAGCCAACAACAACACTCCCGCCCGAGACTTCCTCCTTTTTTGCTCAGGGCTGGTGTTCTTGCTCGCCGCCGAAAACCGCCGTCCTAACAAAACCAGCGCTCCCGCTCGAGACCTCCTCCCGTTTTACCTTGGACTGGCGTGCTAGTCTTTCTCTCATCGGCGCCGCCTCAAGCAAAAACAACGCTCCCGCTCGAGGCTTCCTCTTTTTTTTACTCAAGGCGGTGCTCCTCCTCGCCGCCGAAAACCGCCGCCCCGACAAAACCAGCGCTACCGCCCGAGACTTCCTTCCGTTTTACGCTGGACTGGCGCCTAATTATTTTTTGAATTGGCACCGCCCCCAAGCAAAAACAACGCTCCCCGCTCGAGGCATCCTTCCTTTTTCCTGAAGACGGTGCTGTTCCCCGCCGCCGAAAACACCCGTCCCGACAAAACCACGACTCCCGCTCGATGCTTCCTCCCTTCTTACTCAAGACGGTGCTCCTCATCGCCGCAGAAAACCGCCGCCCCGACAAAACCAGCGCTCCCTTCCGAGACTTCCTTCGGTTTCACGCTGGACTGGCGCCCTACTCTCTTTTGAATTGGCACCGCTCCCAGCAAGAACAACGCTCCCGCTCGAGATTTCCTTTCTTCCTCGGGACGGTACTATTATTCCTCGCCGCCGACAGCCCCCGTCCCGACAAAACCACAGCTTCCGCTCGATGTGTCCTCCTTCCTTGCTCAAGACAATGTTCCTCCTCGCCGCCGAATCCGCCGACAGCCCCCATCCCCACCAAGGCAATCCTGTCGTTCGATACTTCCTTGTGTTTTACCCTTCGCTGGGGTTCCACTGGCGGTCTCGCATCGGCGCAGCAAGGCGCGGGCATGTGTTTTCGAGGCGGGATGTGTTGAAATTCCTCGGAGGAGGTGTTTGCAAGACCTCATTGGGCGGGAGATCTGGGAATGGGAATACCGAGCCCCGCTATGGCACAAGAGTCCCCCATGGTGTGGATGGTTACCATGGTGGTCGCATGTTTCGTGTGGACACATCGCGCATGAGGGTAAACATGCTTGTTGCTGGTGTCGTTGTTGTTGATGGTCGCAGGTTTCGTGGAAACATCGCGCATGATGGTAAACATGCTTGTTGTCGGTGTCGTTGTTGCTGCTGGTGGCGTTGTTGTCGTGTGCGTACTTGTGTTGTTCCGCTTGTGTGCGCGCGTGCTCCCGCGGGCTCCCGCGGTGGCCCGCAGCGCGCCTGCGCTGCCCATCGCGGCGCGGGCCCCCGGGGCAGCACGAGGGCTGCGCTCGGGCCCCGCGCGGGAGCCTCGGATCCAGTGACGAACGGACAACACACACCCATACCCATAGGGGGGTCGTTGGGAGGAGGACTGGCTATGGGTATGGGTGCGGGTTGTCGGACCCTTGGGAACGCCCCCGTTCGAGCGGGGACCCCCATCCGACAACACGCACCCATAGCCCTCTCCGAACCCCCTACGGATATGGCTGTGTGTGTTGTTGGTGCGTCATCAAGGGGAGAAGAACCAGCCGGACCCGATGCTTTGCGTTTACCAAACGGCCCAGCAGCCCTACAGGAGCCGGCTCGAGTAAGAAAACACTCACTTTTAATACAGGGGCTCGGTCGTCCCTTTGGTTTTGCATGCGCTCCGCTGCCTTGTCGGCGGCGAGCCCCCTTGGGGTTCCTTCGGACTTCGTGGACTTACTTGGAAAAAAGGGGCTTCGTTCCTCATTGATCGTTCCTTAGGTCAGGCCGAATACTGTACCCTGTTCGATTCCGTCTGTGGGTGGGTTTACTAAACGGCTTCGCTCGTGGGTGTGATTATTGTGTTGGTGGAATGTTTGTCCTCTGTCAGAGGAGGAGCGGCGGAGGCGCACTCCAGGGGAGCTGGAAACGTCGGGCGGGGCCAGGATCGCAGGCCTCGAGGTTGACACCAACACAAATATCGGCGGCGTGCCTCCACCGAGGGAAGAAGATCCCAGTCTCGGTGATGGTGGCAATATCCTGGTCTCCAAGGTGGCCGAAATATTACCACCAAGACCTAAATCTAGGATCATCTTCCCCCTGCGGAGGCACCCCCCTGTGCTGGTGTTGGTGCCAATCTCCAGGCCTCCAACAGGACGAGGACGAATCCGTTCCAGAGCGTTCTGGAACGCTCTCAGAGCGTTCCAGAAGGCTCCGAGGAGGCCGCGGCGCCCCAGACCTCTGGAGCCACCAGATCTCAGAGATTGTCCATGTGCCTTTGCCCGATGTTATCTTTGTCCTGGCTTCGTCTTGAAATTCGCCAGCCTCCCAGCTGATGTGAAGGGGGCTCCACCATGCCAGAACGGGCCAGACAGGGTCATCGTCAGGCGGGGGGCAGGCTCAGGGGGCAGGCACCCCCTGTCGCCCGATATGTGGCCCTCCCCATCGAGGAACGTGCGGGGTAGCTATCGAGGGCTTATTATTGCCTTGCTGTCGACGAGGTATAGCCGATGCCAGGTCGATGGTTCCCCCCGCTGAGCCGGTCACCCCCCAACGTTCCCCCTTAGCCGAAGAGAGACCAGAGGAGGAGGAGGAGGAGGAGGAGGAGGAGGAGGAGGAGGAGGAGGAGGAGAAGGCAGAAGAAGAGTCATCCGGTCGCGCCCTTCTGTGCGCACGGGGCATGCAGGGGAGGAGAGCGTCGGACGGGGCCAGGATCTGGACCAACCGTTCCAGAGCGCTCCGGCAGGCTCTCAGAGCGTTCCGGTGCGCTCTGGATCGACCGCGGCGCCAGATACATCCCCCAAAGCCGCCAGCTCGCAGAGGTCCCCGATGTGTCCCGGTCCGCTTCTGTCCCCGCCATGGTTTCGTTTTAGATCGGGGGGCCCCAAATTAGGGGGACGAAAACGTACATAAACATACAAATTTAGAAATCCGCGCGCGCGGAGCGCGCCAGGGGGCGGCGCCGGAGGCGCCGCCAGGGGGGTCCAGCGCCGATCCGAGAAGTCCGTGCGGACCTCCCAGTTTTCATGTTTATGTCATTGTTCGTCCCCCTACAAATGTTGTGGTGATCTCACTGTGTGGTGAGTCAGAGCGGGTTTGGGGTCACCGCGCGGTCTTGGGGCTCGGGTTGTTCTCCGATGATGTCTCGGGCGCTTGAGGCTTCGAGGATCCCATACACGCTGGTCGTTGAAAGTAGGTATTTTTGGGTTCCCAGATCCTAATCTACTTCAAGCGCCTTCCTACTTCAATCATCGATATGATTTTGCTGTGTTATGCTATTATCTGGGAGGACCTGGACCCAATCCACTTTATCCGCCTTCCTACTTCATGTTTCTACCTACTTCTTCCGACCGACGTGTAACCGTGGTGCAAGAGCCGATTTGGCTCAAGCAAATGTTGCGCCCGACACACGGTGTCTTATCCCAGCCGACTGTTGTATAATCGTCGGCTGAAAGGGATGGCGAAATTCGGGCTGTGCACTTCGTTGTTGGTGCTCGTCGTGGCCGCCCTAGCTGGCATGTGCGGATGGAGTCAGCAGAACCCTCGGGTACTATGGTATCGTGTGTCCACTTCTGCCAAGGCGCTGCATGCGTTATACACTTTGCCGCAGGAGCACGTGGATACATTCTTGAAGTCATATGAGCTGTTCGACAAGGAGAACTACACGGGGAACGAGGACGGGGAGAACATTAAGGGCTACTACCAGGTAATAAACCATCTATGTGCTGTTGGTGAGGTGGAGAAGATGTACATTCCCCCCGTCATGGACCTGAGCCTCGGAGTATTTGGCAACCAGTTGCTCTGGGAGGAGAAAGGCATGGCTGACAAGCTCGACGTCGGTGCAGGAAAGCGAGTCCTTGATGTAGGCTGCGGCCGAGGACGCATTGCGCATCACGTCGCAAGCTACACGGGGGCCACGGTAGTGGGTCTTAACATCGACAAGACGCAGATACGGATGGCAGAGGAGCATGCCAAGGCCGACGGCATGCTCGGATCCCAACTCGAGTTTGTGGAGGGAAACTACAATGACCCTCTGCCCTTCACGAACGAGTCGTTCGACGCGCTCTACCACGTGCAGGCGCTCACGTACGTCCAGGATCTGGACAGGCTGCTCGTCGAGATGTTCCGGATACTGAAGCCGGGCGCCAAGCTGTCCTTCCTCGACTGGTTCAAGCTCGACAACTACCGGCCGGACGACCCGCACCACCGCCACCTGCTGAAGGAGACTAAGGCGGTCATCGGCGCGGTGCGCACTCCCTCCCCGGAGGAGTACACCGCGGCCCTGGAGCGGGCCGGCTTCCGGGTGCTCTCCAGCGCGGAGGCCAGCACGGACGGCGGCCACCAGTGGCCCCTGGTGAAGCAGATGGAGCGGTACTTCGTGGCCGCGGAGGCCGTGGTCTCCTTCCTGACCGATTGGAAGGTCATCCCCGGCCACCTGAAGATTCTGCTGGGGCGGCTCAACGAGGGTGGCGCGTCGTTCGTGGAGTCGGACAAGCTTAGACTCTTCACCACCAGCTGGCAGATCGTGGCTCAGAAGCCGGCATGAGCTGGCCTTCCGCCCCTGGATGCAGACCTAGTGTGTAGGCTGAGGGGGCATGTGGTACCAAAGCGTGCCGCCGCCGAGTTTCACGACACAAGCGCTGAGCGCTGCCCCGAGAGGGTCCAGCGTACCCCACGCCATGGAGGACAGACTCTTCAGACCGAATTCCGAGAAGTCAGCAGAACTGATCACTGTGCTGTGACGGACCGTGCGGTCAGGTCTTCCTGCGGACTCCGAGGCCGCCGCCGGGTCTGTCACCGCACCGCTCGGAGACCCCCACAGGTTCGGGCGATCGCAACCATGGATCAAGGGGGCGTGGATGAGCGACGGGTCCCGCTTCCATGGGAAATCGCGGATTTCCGCCGCCGAACGAGGCGGCACCGGTCGCATTCTGGGGAGGGCACTTCCCCCGATCTGCGGACCTGGCGACCGCGCGCCAGATCCATGGTCCATGGACCGCCAGTCCATGCCTGCGCGCCCCCGACAGGTGGGCCTGGACTGACGCCTCGCGCGGGCCGCCCGCACCGCTGGCCGCCGCGGGGGGCGCGTCGGCGCGCGTCGGCGCGGGGCCGTGGCGACGCCTCTCGGGCAGCCTGGCGCGGCCGCGTGCTCTCGCCGCGCGCCTGCGGGCGGGTCTCGGCCTCCTCCAGCGGAGCCCGAGCAGCCTCGGGCCTGGGACCGGCGCGGCCGTGTCCACTCCGGGGGCTCTGCCCGTCGACGTCGGCCTCTGGGGCCCGTCAGCGGGCCCCGTGGACCAAGCATTATGTCGGGCGTGTCCCCCTACAGGGGGATTTCCGACGAAAAATAACAAATACACCAAAAAGGCCCCCAAAATACCAAAAAATATTAAAAAATAATCCCCAGACCATTTTTGGATTATTTTTTAATTTTTTGGGGGGGGGTATTTTTATTTTTCGTCGAAAGTCCCCCTGTAGGGGGACAGGCCCGACTTAAACCAAGCATGGATCCGCGGTGGAAGAGGGGTGCCTTCGGGCAGGGAGTCGGAGCCTCTGGGGCCGCGGGCGGGAGATGCAGGCCTCCCAGGCCAACCCTGGCCACCCCTCCTCCTCCTCCTCCTCCTCCCCCTCCTCCCCCTCCTCCTCCTCCTCCTCCTCCTCCTCCTCCTCCTCCTCCTCCTCCTCCTCCTCCTCCTCCTCCTCCTCCCCTGGCCCCTCGCCTGGAGGCTCCCCCAGGATGGCCACAGATGCCCACCGCGGCCTGCAGGTCTCCCCTGCCGAGTCCCAGAAGGGCCCCAGGAGGGAGGAGGGAGGAGGGAGGAGGAGGAGGAGGAGGAGGGACTGAGAATATCAGCTTCAGCAGCAGATCAGCTTAGCAATTCAGAGGATCAGTGAATGATCAAGTGTAGTATCTGTTCCGTACGCATCAGGGCTCAGGGTTTGCGCAGTTCAAGACTAAACATCTCAGTTTGGTAGCGGAGCTGGAGTTCGGCTCCAGCTCCAGCCTGCCCCATCACAGACAGGGCTCGGGCGCGCGATAGTGTGCCCGCCGCGCGCCGCCAGGCGCGACCCTTCGTCACGACGAAGAACTACGACACCGGGCTGAACCTCGGCCCGCGCCGGATCATCAAGAAGATCTGGTCGATCTACCTGTTTTTTACGTTCTTCTTCGTACACTTCAGCGAAGCCTGTGGTGTCTCCTTCTACTCCTACTCCCAGGACTACGTGGCGATGGCGACAGGTGGTGGTGCAGACTGGAAGCTCCCGAATTCTCTTCCTGAGTTTACCAGATATGTTCCTCCCGGCTGGAAACCGGGCATGCCAGACTACACGTTCAAACACTTCCTCGAGCGCCTTCATCTCTGGTGGCGCATCACACCCATCACTGAGGAAGAGGCCGGCCCACTCGTTGCAAGTCGGCTTCTTGACAAGGCGTTCGAGGTGGCCATGAGCTTAAAGGTCACTCGCAATGGCGTGGTCATCAGTGGCGATGCGGCTCTTGCTCTCGGCAAGGAAGATGCAGTGCTGGATCCCACTGGAGCAGAACTACAACCTGCCAGTCCGGCAGGAATCGGTCACCTCATTGCAAAGCTCACGGATGCGTTCGAGATTCATGACCAGGACAGGCAGGGTGAGATCCTAGACAAGTTCTGGGATACAAGACGCGGATCCTCCTCATTGCAAGACTACCTCCTCAACTTCAAGCAGAGGTTCCAGGAGGCCGAGAGCAAAGCTGGGCTGCAGCTGAACTCGACAGGCCTCACACACCTTCTATTCAAGTGGAGCGGCCTTCCGGCCAGAAGAATTGCAGATATCAAGCTACATCACAACGGAGACCTCACGAAGTTCAACGAAATCTACAGTATGACCAGTCGGATCGCAAAACAAGAAATGGCATCAGGCAGTGGACATCACTCAGGACACTATGGAGCGTTTGAAGATATGGAGCTGAACGACGATGATTACAATCTTTCCTACTATCAAGATGAAGATCAAGAAGAATATATTGATTTCGTATACGACGAAGACACGGACCTTCATTATCGAGAATATGCGACGGAACATGGAGAATGGCGATATGGTGCATATGACAGTTACTGGAATTGGTACGAACAAGATGAGATAGAACAATACCTCGACGAGCTCGACCTCGAGGAAGCATATCAGATGAGTGGCTTCAGACCAAAATGGCGATGGAACGGACGACGAAAAGGGAAAGGCAAAGGACGCTTTCGCAGCAAAGGACGAGGTCGAGGTTACAGTAAAGGTCGAGGACGAGGACGAAAAGGCAAAGGACGTGATGATGATAAACGCTTCTCAACGGACATTCTGTATGGCGGTAAAAAAGGAAATGGCAAGACAAAGAACAAGACGGACAACAACGGCTGCAGCGTCTGTGGCTCTAAGTGGCATCGCGATCAAGATTGCCCAGTCGGACTTCGTGATCGCAAAGGAGACAGCGGCGGCAAAACAGGAGCAGGTCTCACACATACTTGGCATCACAACTTCGGTGGACATCATCAGGACCAGTATCATGACGACCTTCCTGATATTGCTCTCGCAGTCGGACATTCCACAGAGACCACGAAGCAGTCCAACTGGGACTTCGACACCAGGACGAAGCAGGACTACGAGGATGGCGGACCATACACCGACGACGAGTACGAGAGGAGACTGAGGAAAGGAAAAGGACGCGGAAAAGGGAAGAGAGACAACAACGGCAATAGAGACAGTCAGAGCTCCTTCTCTTCCTCGTCCACAGGATCCTGGAGGCCTCAATCCAATGCCGGACAGCCGCCGTGGATGGCTAACAATTTTGATGCGATTTCGGAAGACAGTCCCTCGATAGGATCATGGAGCGTGCTTTCCTCAGCGACATCTCCTCCTCCTGGTACGTGGCATCAGGCTGACGACGGACCTCCTATTCAGAAAACAAGTTTCAGTGACATGGTGAAGCCAATGAGCACGACGACGAACATGAACACCGACAACGTCAGCGGCATCAGCAGCTCATCACAGCTCTCACCAGGATCATCGGCCTTTCAGCTTCCAGAGAAGCCAGTCAGATCACAGACGGACACCACGGGGCAGTACAGCATGGACCATGATGGGATCCACTCGGGTGTTAACAAAGGTTCTCTGTCTGATCTTTGGAAGCCACATACCAGCCTCTTTGCGATCAACAACGCGTGCTACCCGGCATCAAGGGAAAAGGACGAGGAGATGATACTCATGACCAGCGTGCGTGGAAAGCAACGACTCGGTCTGATCGTGGACCCTGGCGCGTCGAAAGGCCTGGGCGGTGCCGAGGCAGTCCGAGAAATATGTGATCATTTGCTGTGGCCAAAAGGTCAAGACATCACGCTGAAGGACTCGCACTCGAAGTTGTCGGGTATCGATGGCAAGCCCAGTCCGTCGCTAGGGCTCGGCACGATTCCTCTCAACTTGAAGGCGTTACCCAGGAGCTCGTTTACCATGGATCTTCTGGGAGGCTCAGGCTCGAAATGCCCATGCCTACTTCCTAACGAGTCAATCATCGAGCACGCCGGGTCCATGTACGCGAACGTTCTGCCAAATAAAGATGGAGTTCTGGTTATCAATCATATCGGAGCTATGGGCAGAAAGGTTGCACCCACCTCGTTCTTGCGTATCTTGTACACGGACTCAGGCCACTACCTTCTGCCTATCGACGACCCTCTTGCCAATGCCGGCGAAGAAGCGACAATATTGCGACAAGCGGTCAAGGATTACATGGAGTTCATCTTCGATACCAACATGACTACCAAGACTGGTGTCAACACCGCTCTGCACTCGAGTCATCCTGGGACGATGTCTGGTGAGGACACAGCTCGGACCTACCACGGGTCCGGACCCCCTGCAGCGTGCGCCTCGAGCGCTGTAGGGTCGTCGTCGCCACACTTGTCGTCACCACAGTTGCTTGGACATTCTGAAACGGCTCAGAAGGACGCAGCTCGAACCCAGGATGGACGCAGTGAGACGGCCACGCAGACGAGTGACATTCAGTCGACCTTCAACAGCAGCACTTCAGAAAGTAGAATGAGACTGAGAGAATATCAAGCAGACAAAGCAGATCTACATGGAGGTCGACCTCGTCATGCCGTCGGAGTTGGTTCGAAGGGCACACCTCAGCAAATACGACAGATGTTCTACAAACGGTGGAACACATTCAGCGGAGACAAGTGGACTGGAGCAGATCAGTGGCCTTCTACTTGTGACCGTGACGATGTCAGTCTTCTGGAAAAGAAATACAAGGCAATGCCCGAGGAATTCTATCATCAGACTCAACTGCCTATCGTTACACCGCACAATGCCATGCTCTGGGTCGACCACATGAAGGGCTTCAAGTTGCATCTTCAAGAACGTATGTCAGGAAGTGGTCGCCTTTCTCTCAGATGCATGCGACTCGGCTTGCAGGTGGCTTTTCCAGTGGATTATCGATACGGATGGAACTTAGCGGACGCCGATCATCAGAACATCCTCACGGCCGTAAGGAGGACACTGGGCATCAAGACCTCTTGGTGGGCTCCAACTTGTACTCCATGGTCTCAGGCCTCGAAGGGTGACGTAGACAAGCGCGAAGCCGAACGACAGACCCAGAAAGCTACACTGGACTGGTGTGTCGGTGATATTCAGACAGGTCAACGACGCGGAGAACACTCAGCATTAGAGAACCCCCACACCAGCGAGATCTGGGACAAGTCAGTGCTTCAGACTCTGCCGGGTCTCGGTCTGCGATCGTACGTGGGAGATCACTGTCCCTTCGGAGCCGTGAATGAAATTGGAGAACCCATTCGCAAACGGACACGGTACATGAGCACATTCGGCCTTCGTGGAGTTGCCCGACATTGCAAATGCAAAGTTCCACACGGGCAGCTGGTCGGACATACTGATGGAGTACACCGGACAGCACGAGCGGCGGTCTACCCCAAGTTGTTGTGTGACGCAATCGGCAAGGATATCATGAAGCTCATCGGACAGGTCACTACAGAGTACCACGTGATGCCTGACGATGACAACGACGACG